GAGGTGAGGTCTCATGTAGCCCACGATGGCCTTGAACTGGCTATGTAGCCAAGGATGGCCCTAAACTTCCGATCTTCCTGCCTCTACCTCCTCCTGAGTGCTGGGATTACAGGCATGTACCACCATGCCCTTTTTATGTGGTGCTGAGTATCAAACCTAGGACTTCATGCATACTAAGGAAGTACTGTACCAGTGGAACTGCATTTCCAGTCCCTAGATATGTTCTTTTAAAAGCTAGATAATAATATGTTTTTCTTCTGAGCTATGTTATATAGATGCACAGTTCTTTTTTTAAAAGAATTTATGTAGTTTTATATGTGGATGTTTTGTATGTATGTGTAAGTGCACTGTGTATGTGGTTCCTTTGGCAGTCAGAAGAGGGCATTGGATCCCTAGAATTGGAGTTATGGAGGGTTGTTAGCCACCATGTGGGTGCTTGGAACTGAACGTAGGTCCTCTGCAAGAACAGCCAGTTCCTAACTGCTAAGCCATCTCTCCAGCCCCAAGGTGCACATTTCTTTATTAATAGTTTTAAAACTCAGAAGTGTTTAACTCAGTAGCAAAATATAATCTGACCTTAGTTAAACAGACATCTAATATGAACTGAACTGACAGGAACCTAAAATGTATCTGAGCATTAGCTGTTGCCCCAGGTTACAGGTCATATCATGCTGTACAGTATGTATCATACTGCTGTACCTCTCTAAAGCAGGAAATAATTCTGAATTCTGAAACCCATCCAGTCCAAGAGTTTCAGATAAGTGACTTCGGTTTGAAAGTGGATCTTTTGTTTTAAAGTATTTTTTGTTGTTGTTTATTTGGGTGTTTTAGTTGTTTTCTTGCTTGTGGAGGGGGCTGGGGAATGAACCCAGGGTCCCATGTGCTTAGCAAGCACTCCATTGCAGAGCTCTACTTCCAGCCTCTCACAGTGTTTTTAGAGGACTGTTCTTGGGGTGGAGAGGTGGCTCAGTGGTTAAGAGCACTTGCTGCTTTTGTGGAGAACCTGAGTTCAGTTCCCAGCACCCACATCAGACAGAGCTCACCGCTGCCTGAAGCTTGAGCTCCCTCTCTGGCTCCAAGGGCACAGCTGTACTTCCATGCATACCCCAACCCTCAGACACAGATACATAATTTAAAAATACAAATCTTTAACCAAAAAAGGGCTACTCTCAAACTTCTCTCCACTGAATTTTGTATGTAGTAATAACAATAATAGTAAAAACCAACCTAGCATAGTACTGCGCTTAGAGTATCAGCCACTCCAGGGCCTGAGGTAGAGGACTTGGAATTCAAAACCAGCTGGGGCAACTTAGTGAGGCCCTTAGGTCAAAACAAAGAAACAAAAAAACAGGCAATGATATTAATCATAATAGATGCCAATTGTTGGAGCCTATCGGGTAATTCCTTCCTTTTTTCCCTCCCTCCCTCCCTCCCTCCCTCCTTCCCTCCCTCCCTCCCTCAGCTGACTATGCAGCTGAGGGTGGTCTAGAACTTGCAGTGTGGTCCAGCTGGCCTCAGACTCACCATCCTCCTCGAATAGCTACTTTTCAGCTTAAATAATCTGAAAAGGCAGAAGCTGCTAGCCAAAGGGGAAAATTGAAGTTCAGAAATATTAGGTAATTTGTCCAGTGTCACACAGATTATAAATGGTTTCAGGGAGAATCTAACCTATAACTACAAAGCAATTCCCTCACATCTCTTCAAATTAGTAACTTTTGATTTTTCTTTTTTGTGTATGAATGTTATGTGTGCATGTATATAAGTGCATCCATGTCATGCAATGCCCGCAGAAGACAGAAGAGGGCATCAGACCCCCTGAAACTGGAGTTGTGGACAGTTGTCAGCTGCCATGTGGGTGCTAGGATTCAAACCTGGGTCTTCTGCAAGAACAGCCAGTGCTTTTAACCGCTGAGCCATCTCTCCAGCTCCACTTGATTTTTCTTATGCTGCTTGGTGGCAGGATATTCAGTTCTTTAGCTAGGGATTTGGGGATATGTCCTTGTATTTGTGATTACCTTTGTTCACTATGCATGGGAAAAAGCTTTGTGATATTACATTTCTGTTAATATTACATATCTTGAATTTGTTGTTGCTGTGTTCTTGTTTTTGAGACCGGGTCTCACTGTGTAGCCTATGCTGGATTCAGACTTACAGTCCTCTGGCCTCAGCTGCCAAGTGCTGGGATTACAGGAATGTGCCACCATGTCTAGCTTTGGTTTGATTTTGTTTGTTTTACCTTCCTGATGCTAGGGCTCAAACCCAGAGGCCTGCACATGTTAGGCAAACATTCTACCAAGGAGAAGGCCTGAATTCTTTAATTTTTGACAAGAGCCCACACCTCTCACAGCTGAACTGGAAAATGCTAGTGTAGATGTGGTTTGAGTTTATCTCCCTGAGGAATATGTGCTGGAAACTTGGTCCTCGGTGGCTGTGTTGGTAGGTATTAGAACCCTGAAGAGAATTAATATTCCTAGGGAGAAGGGAGAAGGGAGGCAGTGGAAGAGAGAAGAGATTGTAAAATTATAGAAAGAGTGAGGAAACCATGCCCTGAATTCTTGTGGCTTCCTGTCTGGTCATGTAGTCCCTTCTCACACACACTCCTACTGTGGTGCTATGTTGTGATGTAGCCTGAGGCCCTCACCAGAGCCTGGCAGAATCAGGCATCATGCTCCTGAACCTCTAGAACTGTGAGCTAAATAAACCTATCTTCCTTCAAATTACCCTGGCCCAGGGCATTTTGTTAGACCCACAGAAAATGAGTTACTTTACTATAGAAAGAGTAGGATTTTCATGTTCCACAAGGAAAAAATACACCCCCTGTACATTTAATGCTTTTGAAGTTGTTTTCTAAGTTTTTTATGTTGTCAAGAGATGACACTCTCTAAATAATAATGACATGTTTCATTAGGAACAATTTTATAATCATTAAAATCTAGCAATTAAAATCACAAATCTAGTAATGAATAATCATGCAGGTAATAATCTTATCACAGCTATTCACTTAAAATAGCAGTTGATGCTCATTAACTTTTAAGCTTTTGCTTCTTTCAGTAGGAATAAACTTCATAACTTTTCTAGAAAAAATGACTGCTAATTATAAGAATTTTCTTAAGTTACTTTTTGATACCAGTTTTGAAACAGTGTCTTAATACATTCATTGTGGACTATAATATATTCGTTGAAAATTCTTTCTATAACATCTTCATGTTAAAAATCTTCCTCACACAACCGAGTCTGTTAGCAAAAGATCTATTAGAGATTGTCTTCAGCAATGTGAGCCAAATACAAAAGTGAGAATCAGGCCCTTGACTGGTGTGCGGACATCTTAGGTACTTTGGTTAGCCCTTTGTGTCTTACCAACATTAGTGCTGAGTGGATATTTTAATTAGCCAAGTATGTTTCTTAGAGCTTTGTGCCATATATGTATGGTATATTTGTATATTTTGTGCAGATGTATTCACAGAATTTTAAATTAAGCCCATCAGTGGTCATTTTCAATACTATAGTTTGTTTTGAGGTACTAGGGATTGAACTCAGGGCCTCAGGCTTGCTAGAAAACACTTTCCATTTTTTCCCTTTTTTTAATTGTATGGAATGCTTACATTTATCTCCACTTTTTCAACTATTCCCAAATAATTTTCTCTTAGAAAAAGCTTCACTAGTTGAGGGATCTATTTTAAGGGTATTGAGGCATATTGTATGTTTTTAACCAGAATCTGCTCCTAGCAGCTGAGTGTGACAGTGCCTGCCCTATGCTTCCACCAGCATTTAGTAATTTTTAATATTATTAATAGTAATCAATAGTATTTAATGTTATTAAATATAACAAATATTAATGGTATTCAGTAGTATTCATAATAGTGGCATCATATCTGAAAGATACATTTTAGGCAGTTTTGTTGTTGTGTGAACATCATAATGTCCTCACACAAATCTGGTGCAGGTCAGTCACCCTTTGGTGAAGTCAAGAAATAGGTGAAGGGGCTGGAGAGATGGCTCAGCAATTAAGAGCATGTACTGCTCTTGCAGACTCCAGGTCTGTTCCCAGCATCCACATCAGGCAGCCCCCAACCACCTGTAACTCCAGTTCCAGGGGGATCCAAAGCTTCCACAAACACTTGCATTCATGTGCACATACCCCACCCACACAGATAATTAAAAATAAATCTTAAGCAGTTGAGCATGAGATGCCTGAAGCTGTTGCCAGTGTGAAACAGTGTGCCTTTTTTTTTTTTTTTTGATAAGTAGGAGGATTACAGCCTGAAGTAATGATGAAAAGTGTAATATAGTAGATGAGATAGGAAGGTCCTTTATTGTTAATGGTGAGCTGGCTGCAGCTTTACCACTGCCCTCCTGCTAGTAGGTAATAGTAGTTTCTCATCTTTATTGGATCTGTGGGCCAACAGTTGTGTGCAACACGTGGCAGATGACTGTGGAGTTCATAAGTATATGTTAGTGTATATATGTAATTTGTATATGACTATATTCATTAGTTTTCAAACAAATTTGATAGAAGGATATCTCATTTTCATCTGAATTTTGAATATAAGGTGACAGTCTTTAAATTGTTACTTAGACTTTTGTGCATTGCTTCATTATTATAGTCAACCATTTTTGATTTGAAGGGGTTTATTTCTTTGTAGTTTATTATAGCTTTACGAACTATCAGGGTTTTGGTTTGGGGGACTTTTTTTTTTTTCGTCTTTTTGAGAAAGGGTCTTCCTGTAGCTCCAGCTGGCCTGAATTCCCTGTGTAGACCAGGCTGACCTCGAACTCACAAAGATCTGCCTGCCTCTGCCTCCCAAGTACTGGTATTAAAGGTGTACACCACCACGCCCGGCTGAAATATCAGTATTTTCTTTTCATATATTAAAATGTATTTTATTTATTCCCAGTAAAGATCATATTAAAAAGGAAAAAATGATTGTGTGTATAATTTTAAATTTAAGGGGACTCTCTGGACCTTACGTGAAAAATAACCTTTTCTTTTCTCTTTTTAGGTTTTCTTCCTTCCTTTAAGTAATACCATCCTCAGCTGTTTTAAAGATAATTCCATCTTTGCCTGGGAATGTGATACTCTTTTTTGCAAATATCAGTTACCGGCTCCACCTGAAAGCTCTAGTGTGTCATACAAAGTGTTTGCTGTGACCAGGTAATATACATTTTTACTTTTTATTAATATTTTAGTTTAAAAATTTTGAGCGTGTTATACATAAGTAACGTATTTACAGCTTTTCTCCCCTCCCTCTCCATGCTCCAACTCCATGTCCACCTATTCCTCTTGAACTTATAACCTCTTTAATGATTATTGTTTGGAAGGGTGTGTGTGTGTGTGTGTGTGTGTATGTGTGTGTGTGTGTGTGTGTGTGAAATTTACTGAGTCTACTTAGTGGTGTTTGTGTGTACATGTGTTTAGGGCTGAGCACTTGGAGTTGGATAACCTATCAGGGAACTTGTCCCTGGATAAAAGTGGTTTACTTGTTCTCCACAGCCTGTAGCTCTTCATCAGGGACTGGGGTCTTGTGAAATTTTCCCCTGTACATTGGCATGTCAGCTGGTGTTTTCATTATGCAAGTCTTGTTTACACAACCATATTGTTGAGGTTTCCTGGGTGCAGCTTCCCTGTTGTGCCTAGAAGACACTCTCATATCTGGCATCCTGATCCTCTGGCTCTTAGAATCTTTCTGCTTCCAATTCTGGTCTCTATGGAAAAATTATAAATTTTCATTCAGTATTTTGGAAAAAAATATCTTCAAGTTTAGATGTAATCTACTGAAGTTTTATTTTGGTTTGGGTTTTATTGTGCAGACTTTCACATATACATAAAAATAGAAAGATAGCCAGGCATACTGGTACATGCCTTTAATCTCAGCAGAGACAGCAGGTTTCTGAGTTTGAGGCCAGCCTGGTTTGCATACTGAGTTCTAGAGCAGCCAGGGTTATATAGTAAAAAAGACCCTGTCTCAAAAACCAGAAAGAAAGGGAAGGAGGGAGGGAGGATTTCCAAGTACTCTTCAGCTCAGTAATTGTCAACTAATAGCTAGTCCTATTTTTATCGATAACTCTCACTTTCTCTGCTGGAGAAAAGTATATCATTTCGTCCATAAATATTTCAGTTGTATATCTCTGAACGATAAGGGCTGGCCATAGTATTATCACATTTTAAAATGAACAAGAGGTCCTTAATGTTATCATATAGCCATTGTTAAAATTTCAGTAATTTTTCCAATATCTGGTTTTAATACTGATGTGTTCAAATCAGCAGAAACAAAACAAAACTTTACACATCACATTCAATTGGTCTAGTCCTCTTAACATTTTTTGTGTCATTTATTTGCTAAAGAAAACTGTTGAGGAGGTGAGGAAATAGCTCATTTTGTAAACAAAGGACTTGAGGACTTGTGTTCAATCCTTGGAACCCACAGTTTTCTTTTTAATATTTTATTATTTTTTTGTATATGAATGTATTGCCTGCATGTATGTAAGTGTACCCATGTTGTACAGTGCCCACAAAGGTCAGAAGAGGGTGTCAGATCCCCTAGAACTGGAGTTACAGAGAGTTGTTAGCCACCATGTGGGTGCTGGGATTTGAACCCTGGTCTTCTGCAAGAGCAGCCAGTGCATTGAGCTGTCTCTCCAGCCCCTGGAACTCACGTTTAAATTAAAAGAAAAAAAAAAAGCTAGACATGGTGGCATATACTTGTAATCCTAGCACTGGGGCCATAAAGACAGCCAGCTCCCTGAGACTCACTAGGCCAGCCAGCTTTTCTGTCTTGGTGAGTTCCAGGCCAGTGAGAATCCTGCTCTAAAAATAAAAGTGAACCACACCTTAGGAACAACAACCTGTTTGTCCTCCAGCCTCCATATGTGCACATATGCATTCTACCAGGTGCATATAGATATACTTGCACACACAGGAGGAGGGAGGGAGAGGGGAAAGGAAGGAGGGAGAAAGCAAACTGTAGTTTTCTGTAGTCCGGATTTTGCTCTGTCTATGCACTGGTGTTTGTATGGTCCTCTGTTGCCTGTATTTCCTGTCCACTGGTTAATGTGAATCTCCTGGAAACTAGAGGCTTGACCTGAGTCAAAAGCAGGAAGATAGAAGGGGTTATATGCTTTCATCAAAACAGCTTAGACACTTTCTCTGTGATTTTCATGACCATTTGTAATTACCTAAATCTAGTGTTGTAGGCGTAGTTCACTTCCTAGTGCTACTCTGGTTCTGTCATCCTTTACTTAGTAACTTCTAGCTCTGTCAGGTTTTCTTTGCTAATTAACTAGTTTTAGTTTTAGAATTATTAACTAATTCTTTTTCCTTTTATCCCTTCTTCACTTACTATTTCTAATTCGTTGTGCACTTATAAATTAGAAACATAAAAGAAAACTTCCTCTTGTTGGCTCTTTGGTTACTTTCACATAGTTTAATAATGGAAAATGGAAGGGCTGATCAATGCTCGATTTCCTTCCCCTCCTTTTTTTTCTTACTGTTTTTGCTGCTGTTGGTTGTGTTTTGTTTTTTAAATTGGTTTTTAAAAGATTTTATTTATTTTAATTTTGTGTGTATGAGTGTTTTACCTGCATGTATATAAGTGCACCATGTGCATGCCTGGTAACCACCAAATCCCAAAGCAGGTGTGGGATCCCTGGAACTGGAGTTACAGGCAGGTGTTAGCTGGTATGTGGGTGCTGGGAACTGAACTTGAGTCCTCTGGAAGAGCAGCCAGTGGTCTTAACTGGTGAGCCATCTCTCCAGCCTCCTTTTTTTAAAATTTGTTTAATTCTGAGATAGGGTCTCACTCTGCAGCACAGACTGATCTTGAGCTCATTGTAGAGCACAGGCTGGTCTCAGATTCATGTTATCTGCCTGCCTCAGCCTCCCTGCTGCTGTTTTTCTTAAACCAGATTTCAAAATAAAGCATTAATTTATTGGCATCTTTGAAGGTGGTCTTTAAACATTTAAATTATTAATCTTTTTAAACTCATGGCTTTACCATAGTTGGTAAGTTTCAAACTACTGTGGGTGAATCTTAGTGATGCCAGTTCTCACATCTTTCACAGTGGGATTGTCTTCAAATTAGTCTTCGAATCTTCTTGACACTACCCCGGCAGTCTGCAATAGCTTCTACACTTTCTGATGTCCAGGTTTTTCTTGTATATTCTCTGTTCCAAGCCTACAATCAGCTGTTTTACTAAAGGGTGAGTTTCTTGTAGTGGGAAATAATATTTGAGACCCAAGACTGGAGGCTAGGGGAACTCAGGATTGTGATCATTCTTTATTAAGCCTTTCTGGAGCAAGTGGAAAGAGTTGGGAAATGGATATTAGCTTTTCTCTTTCCCTCCCTCTCCTTCCGAGTCCTCAATCTTGTCAACTCTACCAAATTTTATATTGACTTACTCACTGTTTTGTCCACTGAATGGATCTTACCTAATCCTAATCACCCTAGTCTGTCTCATACACCATGATAGCCTTCTTTGGTCTCTCTGTTTTTATTCCCGCTTCCTAAACTTGTCTCCACACAGCAGGTAGCATGCATCCAACCTCAAGTTGGATCATGTCACTTCCTAGTTAATCCCTTTCCTGGGCTTTCCACTGCACTTAGAGTAAATCCACCTTGTTTCCTGAGGTGCTGTCACCAGTCACAGCCTCCCTCTCTCCATCTTCCTTTGTGAGTCTGCTCCAGCCATGCCTAGTGTAGGTCTTGCTCTTCCTTATGTAAGATCTGTATTCCTTTCTCAAGACGTTACTAACAAGTTTAGAATTCTTCCTTTACATCATCCTACAATGTCCATTCATGTCATTCAAGAAGAGGATTTCCTTTCCAGCTTCTCATACCATTTATAGTTCTCTATTCTCACCAACTGGCACCAAGTTCATTTCTTTGTTATTGGCCTTCCTCTAAACCGAAACCCTGGAGGAGCAGGATTCCTCCCTTGATCGTTATTACCTGACTTGTTTGCTGCATTGTCCTGATTCCTGGAGTGACAGCTGGCTTATGGGAAACACTTTATAATTAGTTGCTGAATTAAGCACCAACCCATGCACATCTGTACAACTTAATTACTCTGTGTGTGTGTGTGCGTGCACGTGTGCGTATGTGTCTGTGAATTGAACTATATCCACAGCCTTAGCTGTTAAAGTAGCTTTCTTTGGCTTAGGGAAGTTTGGCCTTCTGTGATTTTTCATAATATAGAGGTACACTACCAAGTCTGTATAATTGTTTTGAAATGTAGAAAGTTGGATAGTGGTGACTTTGAAATTGTTTTATAAAATACAAATGTTATTCAAACCCTTAATAAGTCATCTGACAAGTGGTTTTTAAGCTGATTCTTTAAGGTGATAAGTAAAATTATAGATCTTCCTAAGCCCTGATCTGTCCTCTATGGTAGCCACTGGCCACATGAATCTTTTTTTTTTTAATTTTTTAATATATTTTATTTATTTGTGTGTGTGTGTGTGTGTGTGTGTGTGTGTGTGTGTGTGAGTATGAGTGTTTTGCCAACTTGTAAGTGCACCCGTGTCATGCATTGCGCACAGAGGTCAGAAGAGGGTGTCGGATTCCCCTGGAATTGGAGTTATGGACTGTTAAGGGCATGTGGGTGCTGGGAATCGATCCTGGGTCCTCTGCAAGAGCAGCCAGTGCTCTTAACCACTAAGCCATCTCTCCAGCCCTGAGTTCTTTTGTTTATTGGTTTGGGGTTTTGTTTTGTTTTGAGACAGGGTCTCCCTGTAGTCCTGGCTGGCCTGGAACTCACTATGTAGACTAGGCTGGCCTCAAATTCACAGAGATCTGCCTGCTTCTGCCTCCTGAGTGCTGGGATTAAAGGCATGACCACCGTGCCCAGTTCCCAAGTGTGATCCTTTACTCTTCAGGAGCACTAATCACATTTCAAGTATTTGATAATCTGTAATTGCGGCTGCGACCTTGGACAGCATAGATGAGAACATGTTTCCATCACAGAGAGCTCAGTGAGGGCACCTGCCTGCCAGGTTCAGGTCGTTCACAAAGAGCTCAGTGGGGAGAGGCCTGCCTGCGAGGTTCAGGTCGTTTTGCTCTCTCACTTTTCCTTTTGCACGTAGAGATGGCCGAATCCTGGCTGCTGGAGGCAAGTCAAATCATCTGCATTTGTGGTGCTTAGAAGCCACACAGCTCTTCAGAATCATCCAGATGCCTACTAAAGTGCGAGCTGTTCGCCACCTGGAATTTCTTCCTGATAGCTTTGATGCTGGCTCTAATCAGGTCAGTAACAGAAATGTAAGCTATGCTACTTTTGGAGAAAGATCACATCAGTTTCAGACCTGTATTAATTCTTTTGTTGTTGTTGTTCATGCATTTCTCTTTTTAAAATGATTTCTTTAAAGTTCCACACATCTATACAGTGCTATTGATGACATCCATCCACCACCACCTCCCCCCAGCTCTCTCTAGTGCCCCCATTCCTTTCGGTCCATCTTCATATCCTCTTCATTAGCTCTTCTTACTTAACTTATGCCATGACTGACGAGAATCTGAAGTTTCAAATATATTGTTTTTGTGAAGAATTTAGAATTGAAAAAAAAAGTCAAATCTTATATCTTTTGTAGACTGTTACTGACAGGTAATTCACTTTATTTTAAATTGACAGTCACAGTCATGGATTTCACAGTTTAATAAATTCAACACGTTTCATGTAGATACACAGTATGTATGCACACGTGTATCTTGTCTGTTTAAGGTTTTTGAGTAAAGTATCGGAAAACTTAGGAAAAGGCGAGTCTCACCCAATCTCCCGTTTGTCTGGTTACTCGCTTCTCTCCTGTAACTGCTGCTGTTATTTGTAGTGTTTGTTTTCTCTCTTTACACAACCTTACACTTTTTTTCTTAATTTGGACTTTATTCTCTATTAGTATAAAACCTTTCTTTTTTACCACTTCATAATAATTTCATATATTTTTTTAAAACCAGCCCTCAGTTATTGATTGGGCACTTAATCTACTTTCCATCTTTTTCTGTTGTAAATAATGCTGCACTGAATAGATTTTTGCAAATGTCATTTTTCATATCCTATTTGTAGGATAAGAATCCCAAAGTTGAAATAATTTCATAGAGGTTATGAGTATCTGTAATTTACAGGTTCTTTCTAAATTGTCCTCAAGAGGAGCTGCATCTGCTGCAATGCAGGGGTTTGTGCCCTACCAGCCAGCCAATGGGAGAACATGCCTTTTCCACTGTCACCCCAGACTACCTTTTGTATAACAAGGAACTGTGTGCTACTATGGCATGTGATGCTGTGGTTAGCGGTGCTTCTGTGGTGTGTAGTGGTGTGGCGTGTGGTACTATGGTGTGTGTTGGTGATATGCGGTGTGGTGGTGTGGCATGCAGTGCTATGGAGTGTGGTGGTGGTATGCTATGTGGTGTTGTATGCAGTGCTATGGCACATGGTGGTAGTATGGTGTGTGGTGGTGTGGCATGTAGTGATACAGCTTAAAGCTGTTGGCCCCTGAAGCACAGGCAGCAAAAAAGATTTATTTAATGTTTTTGTTATATGCTTTAATTTTCAAATTACGTGAGTTAAGCTTTTTTTAAAAGACTTCCTTTCCAACTGCTCCTCCAGTATACTTGAAACAACCCTTAATTTCTCTCTACTCTCCAAATATTATTACAGTAGCTGAAGACAGACAGAGAGTGGGGCATTCTTACCAGGAGCAGGAGGTTGGGTGCAGGCAGTAGGAAGCAGATAAGTCCTCTCCTTCCTGGCTCTGGTGGCCAGTATAGAGGTGAAGGTCAGGAACTGTCCACTGTGTGCATCTTTGAGGGAAGTGAAGAACCCTTTCGATAGTTCCTCAGGGTGTGTTCCTTACTGTTGGTGGTCAGAGCCAGACTCACGTAGGCCTGGAGAGGCACATCAACATGAGTGATCATTAGTGATTCAAAACTGTGTAATGGAACTGGAGAGATGGCTCCATGGTTAAAAGCACTAGCTGCTCTTGCAGAGGACCCAGGTTAAACTCCCAACACCCACATGGCAGGTAACAAGCATCTGTAACTCCAGTTCCAGGGGAATCCAGTGCCTTCTTCTGGCCTCTGAGGGCACGTCACAACACAGGTACACTTACATACATGCAGGCAATACACTCATACACATAAAATAAAAATAATAAAATATGCCAGGCATGCTGGCGCACACCTTTACTCCCAGCAGATCTCTGTGAGTTCAAGGCCAGCCTGGTCTCCATAGTGAGTTCCAGGCCAGCTGGGGCTTCGGGGTGACCCTGTGTCAAAAAGACAAAAAAAAAAAAAATTAATAATAATAAAATATTAAAAAAATAAAGATAAGCTCCCGGGTAAGTTGATCACACCCTCTGCGTCTTGACTCCCCCAGCCTCATTCACCTTCCATCTCCCCGGCCCGTCTCTCCTCCTAGCCTGGGTCTTGTCACATTCCTTGTCTTGGCACCCCAGACACTGGGGGAACCACCACTGCTTCCTGATCCTTTGCATCCAGAAGAACCCAGTTCCTTCTCAGGCCCCTAGGAGCCCTCTGGGCCTGGCGCCACCCTCAGCCCCCTCTGCTTCCCTGGACTGCACAACCCACCAGCCTCTTTCCTGAATGCCGGGCTGAGCTTTCCACTTCCTGATCCTTTGCATCCAGACCAACCCACTTCCTCATTGCAATTCCCAGGATCCCTTGGGGCCTCTTTCCCGCCCCCATCTCCCTTTGCATCTCTGGGTGGCATGGCCACCAGCTGCTGTAGACCAGCATCTTTCCTGGGCCCTGCTCCCAGGCCAGTCCAACTCCCAAATTCCTGATGCCAGAATCTTTCCTGGAGGGATCCAGACCTTAGGAGAAAGCCTGGGCCTCTGTGGGAACTACTGAAGACAAAATCAATCTGGCCACTTCAATATAAAATCAAAAGAGAGAAACAAAAGTTTAGAGGAACCAGCTTTTCATGCCCAAAAAGTAAAACACAAAGACACATAAAGTTCACAAAAAGAAGCAGACCTAAACTTGAAGGCCTGAGTCTCACACAAGAATCAGAAACTACAAAAGAAATTCACATGTGAAAATCACAGAGAAAAAACAATAACATGAGAAACCAAAATAACATATCCCCACCAAATACCAATAGTCCTCTAGAGGAGTACAATGAGAACCCCCTAGAGGCCTTGAACTCACAGAAATCCTCCTGTCTCAGCCTCCTGGGTACTGGGATTACAGGTGTACACTATGATGCCTGGCTGACTGATACACTTTTATCTAACCTAATTAAAAAAATGATGAATCACGTTAGAGTTCATTACTAAAAAATTAGCTCAATGGGGGCTGGAGAGATGGCTCAGTGGTTAAGAGTACTGGCTGTTCTTCCACAGACCTGGGTTTGATTCCTAGCACCCACATGTTGGCAAACAACTGTTCGCCAACTCCAGTTCCTGATGAGATACCCTCACCTGGCACCTTTGGGCATTGTATGCACACAGTGCACTTACATACATGCAGGCAAAATAGTCATATACATAAAATAAAAATAATAAAATATTTTTTAAAAATTAGCTCAAAATCAAACCAGATGTGGTGGTGCATGCCTTTAGTTCCAGCACTCAGGAGGCAGAGGCAGGCAGATCTCTGTGAGTTCAAGGCCATTCTGGTCTCCATAGTGAATCCAGGCCAGCTGCAGCTACAGGGAGACCCTGTCTCAAAAAAGTCCAAAAAAAAAAAAAAAAAAAAAAAATATAAAAAAAACAAAAGAATGGAATATGCAGGAATTGCATGATACCATAAAAAGACCAAACTTATGAATCATAGGCATATAGGAAGGAGAAGAACCACAGGATAATGGCATGGACCAGATCTTCAACAGAATCATGGAAGAAAATTTCCCAAAATTAAAGACATGCCCATACAAATACAAGA